GCGCCCGCCCCCCCCCCCGCCCCAACCCGCCATGCTCGTCAAAGTCAAGCTTCTCACCGGCACGCAAACGGAGATCGACATCGACCCGACCGACACCATCTGGCGCATCAAGCAGCGCGTCGAGGAGAAGGCGGGCATCGACCCCAAGCAGCAGCGTCTGATCTTCGGCGGCCGTCAGCTCGCAGACGACAGGCCCGCCAACGACTACAACATCGAGGGTGGAAGCGTGCTTCATCTCGTCATCGCCCTTCGCGGCGGATCCGTCTCCTAGCTTCCGTCCCCTCCGAATCCCGCTTTCATACACAGTCACTTGCTAACTGTCAATAAACCACAACAGCAACTCCGCAACTTACTCGCACCTCCACCAACATCACTCTTTCGCATGCTGCAACTTGCACGCTTCACGTATTCAACCTTCTTGCTCGCCGACCTTCTTGCTCGCCTTCTCGCCCCTGCTTCTCGCATGCCCTTACCCGCTGTTTGCTCCCATTCGTGCTTTGCCCGTACTCCTTGCATCCCCTGCCTTTCTTCCTCCTCCAACTCTTGTATTTGTCCCCCTTTGCACCTTCTGCACCTGTATAATCACAGTTTTCCAACTGTGCCAATTTTCATGTCAACTAAACTTCCCTTCTGCCTCTGCTGACGTAGCCTGAATCTCGCTGCGTCATCCAAAAGAGTCACCCTGCTCAACGAAAGCTTGACATGCCGGCAAATCGCCCACACTCTCATCGACAGCCCCTTCGCCCCCCATCTCCTCCCCAGTGCCGAATTCCCCCTCTTCAACCACTGTGCGCAGTGATGGTGACCATCTCCGTCCCATGCCCGACACGTTTCCCGCTTGCATGCCCTGCCCACGTGTATCATCCTTGTACTGCCTTGGCGGAGAGGGCACCATCGCGGAGCGATGCACAATGCGGAAGGCGTACGCAAATTCCGTCCACTTCAAAAACTCGCTAAAGCTAATTTCTCCAGACATGTCCTCATCCAAATGATTTAAGGCTTTTTCGACCAAATCGCCGTGTGTTGGCCATCCGAGATCTTCAAACATCTTCCGCAGTTCATTCTCGTCGATAGTCCTGGAGCGGTCTTTATCATAAATATCAAATGCATTTCTCAATATGCTTGCAGTGCGACATTCTCGGTCAACCCTTGAACTCACTCCACTCGTCCGCGCTTCCGTTGGAGACATGCGAAACAGAAACAGAAATTTATTGAATCCGCGTACTTGTGTCATGGAATCGTAGACACAGAAAGCAGGGGCCGGCATCGTACTCGTTCTTTAGACGCTATTCTCTTATACAGTATGGATGTACATACTGGTATATATGTCCAAGCAGCGGGCATATGCCGACAACGCAGCCTGCCAGTGCTGCGTTGTGAGAGAGAGAGTCGCCTATGGATGCTGTTCTTTCAATATGGAGAACAACAGAGATTTCATTCCGTCCCAATTGCATCCAACAGAAAAGCAGGTTGATAATAGTGCCCAAAATTTTTACCGTCGGCCGAACGCCTTCATATGTCCCAACGCAAGCCGCGACAAGGGGGTACGACACCCGGCGACACGCACGTTTATCAAACCCTCTCTCATCGTTCTCGGTGCTTCCCATATGCAGGTTTCTTGTCCAACACCACAACAGCAGACTCACGGGCCTTCGCCTTTTTTTCCTCGCCCGGGCGGTATATGAGGAAGTAGAACAGGGCCCCAGCAGCGGCCCATGCTGAGAACTGTGAACCGGATCGAAAACATGTTGAGAGTGGTCCAAGAATTCTCGTTAGTAAACTTTACAAGTATTCATGGCTCCTTCAGAATGCAATACACCGAGCTACCCACGTTATTCATAAATCTCCGCGATCTCATCGCGAAAGAAACCCCCGTAGTTGCGAGCAAATCTCAAGCCTGCGATGTTATCTAGCGAAACACCCTTGCGCTTCCGTCTGACGGTGATCCTTGTCCAGCGATGCGCATCAGCGGTGATGGGCAGGCTCGGTCACTAGACCTACGCTTGACGAGCCACTTTGAACTTTCTGAAACCCCCGAAAATAATTGCAGTAGCATTGCCCCTGTAAGAAGAAGCGGAGATTTGATGAAATGAGATACAGCAAGGTACAGCTCATTGAAGCGTACTTCCCCGTTGATGGGAGAGATTTCGCAGAATGGCCTCTTTCAAGAACTGCATCTCTTCTAGTCAGCGTGTTGCCGCAGTAATCAGAAATTATGGCAATGGTTTCTGAATTTTACTACTATCCTCACTTCACTACCGCTTGGGGAGTGTCGTGATCTTAAATATTGTGCATTTCTAAATAAATAGAGCCGTCGGATACGGGTGCGACCACCCTGCACGCCATCAGGAAATGGAAAAATTGCTCTGACACTTCCGGTATTTCGTTGCTCGGTTGCCTTGGGCTCATCGGTTGCCTTGGGCTCATCGTGAAATCAGTTTGCTTCTTTTTTCCATCCCGTAGTTTCAAGGGGAGCCAGTAAAGTGCCCGTCATGGGAAAACGAAGAGACATTCCCTGAAGCAATAAACGATGAGCAAGTCTACGCGGCAAAGACAACCTTCATCACGAGTCGGGCCTGCGCAATTTCCACGTGTGCTATGTGCCAAACAATAGCACTTTCAAGTAGTAGGCATATCACGTGTAGGCTAATAAGGCATCGTAATGGATACCGTCAGAGTACAGAATCCGTAGAGGCTCCCCACGATACTGTTTGCCATACACTTGAATCTGGCGATATATACCGACTTTCGAAATGTACACCGCGATAGGAACATGAAGTATCTTCGCCAGCATTAGAAGCTCTGGCTCACCTCCATATGTCCGAGGTTGTGACATCTTCTTCGTGTATTGAGGAAAATTTCCTTCAATCACGAAAAAGCGAGCAAGTAATTCGCGATATTTGATCAGCTCTGCAACAGCTCGTGCGCGCAGATGGTCCGCCCCCTCACGTTCAAGCCGCTCCCCAGGTATGGGTTTGCCTCTGGCAACTGCTCGGCAACGGACCAACGCACGAAAGAGGCATCGTCCATCCCCACGAACATTTGACCGTTCCAAATACAGTCCAGCATCAGAAATGGCATCAACCCGTTCATTCCTAGTGAAGTACAGTGCAGAGGCAAAGGAAAGGTGATGTGTCTGCTCCATTGATGGCTGCTCAATATCCCTCGATCGCGAAGCGGTGGGACTTAGGCCCAGGCTGTTTCGGTAAGATCCCTGGGAAGAGAATCCTCGACTGAAGGCTGGACCTGCGTTGCCACTACTAAATCCATCGCGAGAGGCTCCGGCTGGTGAAGTAAGAGTACTGCCAGGGAAGTCATCTCGCTGGTTCATGGCGCTCGCGGCCATATCTCGCAGAGTCCGCGTGCGGGACATGACCATCTTCATTGCACCTTCGTCCCCAGATTCACTACTCTGAGTGTCCCTCCGCCCATCTGAGCGCGAACCCAACCCCCCATTCGCTGATGACGACATAGGCTTTGGCGTATCATGGTACCCATTCGCAACTGGATGCGATGATGCTGCTCCTCGAAAAGGATTGTAAATAGCGCTTTCCCCAGACTGGCCTTTGTGCTTTTCTTGCTCTTCTTGATGTCTCCTGACTTCAGCATAGCTGTCAAAATGGGTGCCAACAAACGGTAAACCACCTGTCTGAGGCAAAGGTGATATATCCCTTGCCTGTGACGTTTCAGGATAGCTGTACTTGTGAATGTCCCCATTCGGGATTGATGGGTATGGAGCTTTCGATGCAGAAGCATGGTGGGCGATTGGTACACACGTAGTGGCAACCTCTCGTAAGACTGAGTTTGTATGAACGAGACGAGAGTGAACTTCCGGATCCATGATATGAACCCAGCCTTCCCGATAGAGCTCAAGCTCAATAAGAGCATCATCGGCGTCGGCACAGACGTTGAGCTTTTCTTCTGCAACTTGAGCATGAGAAAAGCGTAGCGCAATATCCATAGCAGCTTGTTCGAAACGCTCAACCTCCGCCAAGACCTCATGGTCTAGCCTGGCCAAGCGAATATCAGTATCTTCCATAATTTGAATGATGCTTTCTATGCCGTGGTTGGCTCGTGAGCCGCGGGCAGCGTAATAGCTCTCCAAGGCCTTCTGCAAGCTGACTCGAAGATCACGAATGTCGAGAGTAACATAATATTCATCGGGCTCTGCATCAAAACGAGCCCAGCCCTGCGATATACGTGTGGCGAGCTGAGCCAGTTGGTCCCCGTATAGAGTGATGACAGCTCTTTCCTGAGCCTCCTGCTGGGAAATTGGCGGACTGCGAGACTTTCTCCTTCTGGAAACCCTATCGTCGGTGCGAGGGCCAAGTCCTGGAGAGGATTGTTTCTTGCGACCGAAAGAATGAGATGGACGCTTTCGAGAGCGTCGTGGATTCGCGGAACCATTGGGATGGTTAGAGGACTGGTTTTGAGGACGAGGACGTGCGGCCGGCGAGGATGAGAACAAGACCTTCCGCAGCACGCTGCCTAAGCCCATACGCCAAATTTGTTTGCATATGCTGAGGAGACTATGGTGTGCTGTCGGCGGAGCCGTTTGACTTGCTAGCGAAGGAATGTTGAAATTTTGCAAGGGAACGGGAGCTCTTTCCGCGGCTGAAAAAAAACCGCTACGTGCGATATTGCGGATCTTTGAAATAGATGAGAGAGCAAGTAATAAAAGCAGGTTCTGGCGACGCTGTGATGACCACCGTCATTACTAGGCTACAGCTGCAGCCTGTGTTGCTGGAAGTTGACGATGACGCTTTTGGATTACCGCATGGGCTAAGGCAGTGGTGGGGAGGGGGCGAAGGGCCCTTTATGAGACCTGATTTCAGGTATATTTTCGAAAATGGAAACACTGTTGCCGGGCAACGATTTACAACAAAATTTCACCTCTCCGAAGGCCTGCACAGTAATTGACTTGACGGGGCAGAAATCCACTGCTTTATGACTCAAATGAAGGCAAGAAAGAATTGTCTGGTAATTTTTTATCATCACTTTCAATTACCATCGCGGCAGCCACATGCAACGCTAGAAACTTCTCAGAAAACTCTCGTGCCTGCTATCATAATAGATGAATCCCATCATTCCAATCATAGCCTGTAATACAGTACGGTTGATTCTCCATATGTACATGTGTAATACGTGGGTATAGAAGACAGCTTGTCCCAAAGCTGTAGTCTTTTCTTCCGATAATTCAATAAAAAAGTAGGATTTGCCAGCCATGTAAACGCTGTCATCTAGTCTTCGGCATGGTATATTTGGACCCATACAAATCATACGTGGTGGAGCAAAGCTCCAATTTTTTCTGTTTTTCACTATTGCCATGCAATTGCCCTGGCGGGGGCAGGACCAGGCGGCCTGCCCCAGGCACTCTCCGAGGTCTCAAAAGGACAACGGTCCGGTGGGGCCTCTTTGCGATCACCCGTTCTCCTGCCCTGCTTTTTCGCCTGGCTGCACTCCGCTCCCGTCGACCTTCCACGCTCCACCGTTCCTCAACCGTTTCTACGTGCATCACTTGTCTGCCCCCAGCAGCCTACGCCCTTCGAACCCCTCTTCTTTCCGTCCTGCGCAAACTTCCAGAGATAAACGCATCTTGACAAAAGCACACACTACAGTGCCTGTCACCCTGTCGACACAACAAACCCCACTGCACGAGCTACTCCCTCCACCATGTTCCGCTTGAAGCAACAAGCGAAGGAGAGTCGCACACGCAAGGAAACGGGCGTCCACGCAACTCGCGCCGGCCAGATACGCGTTCAGAAAGACGTTAGCGAGCTCGACATTCCTCCTTCCACGGAAGTGTCCTTCCCAGACCCAGATGATATCATGAACTTCAACATCTCCCTCTCCCCAGAGGAAGGTTACTACGCCTCGGGCACCTTCGAGTTCACTGTCCACGTTCCCGATGACTACCCTCACAAACCACCCAAGGTCAAATGCACTACATTAATATACCATCCAAACATTGACCTTGAAGGAAACGTTTGCCTCAACATTCTTAGGCAGGACTGGAACCCCGTTTTATCTCTCAGCTCTGTTTTGTATGGCTTGCAACTTCTTTTCTTGGAGCCAAACCCAGACGACCCACTGAACAAGGACGCCGCAGAGCTGCTCAAGCGCGACCGCTACGAATTTCAGAGAAATGTCACAATCGCTGTCCGAGGTGGCTATGTAGCCGGTACATACTTCCCTTCTGCGCGTCGTCGATGATCGATATTTGTAAACCGAACCGTCTCCTACCTTCTTCGTGTAGCTCAACCTTTGGCTGTTCCACATGCCTGCATGCGCCAAGCTTGAACCTCATTCACGTTTGCAGAACGTTGCCGTGTACTGACGCCCCCACTCTCCGTTGCATGTGCAGTTTCCTTGCCTATAGAAAACAAAAAGCAAGATGTTCCGCCAAACTGCAGCGAACAACATCGAGGTCAATGATATCAAGACAAAGCATTCGTAAAGCAGCTTCCTGGCTTCTCTGCACTATTTCTCATGGCTGTCTATTTGGACAATTCAGGGAAGAGTCCTTATTGCCTTACGTGCTAGACATGAAGCTGACGAACCGGATTCGAGACCATCTGCCCGGAATCCCTACCGTGCAAGGTATCCGGCAGGGACCCCAGGACGTTCTCTCAAGGGCAAAAACACCAGCAACGCCATCAGTCGTGAAAACTCGTCCACTCTGGGGACATGTGGCGATGACAAAGCGGATGCCGTGTGTAGGTGTTACTTCATTCAAGAGCCGGTTTCCTCGCCTTGTGAGTCTACCTACTCCACTCAGAGAAGAAAATGCTGTTCAAACTGCAACTCGCGAATGAGGTTTTAAGTCGAAAAAACTGTCCGCATAATTTACATGAGGTACGGATGGATCTACCCATAGGCGGGTGCCAAAAAATAACAGAAGTAACCATTCCAAAAGGTGGGAAAAAATACAGGAACTGCACAACTGTGCTACCGCGATCCGACAAAGTAACTCAAACAAAAGAGTGAATTTCCGGTGCAAGATGTTCGTACGAGGGTTGAATTAGAAATAAAAGCGGCTCCTAAGGCGTTGCCGACGTCGCTCTGTGTTACAGCCACGTCATCGCAAACATTGTTGAGCACGCAAGGAGAGCGAAAAGGGAGAGAGTAGTGCTGTTTTGCCATTTGCTGCAAAATAAAACGTCGAAAACAAAAAAGTCGGCCGCCACAATAAAGAATTGCTACAGCACGGAACGATTTGATTGCTGGCCTCGATGCCCATTGCATCAAGCGTTCAAACGGTCTTTGGTTGAGTAGGAAACACTGGGAAAGAAAATTGAACGGCAGCGTCCTTTGGCTAACGGAAAATGGGCCAACATAGCATGCCCAAAATTCTTCCAACAAGGCACCCAACTCAACGGCGTCAATAAAAGTCTCAATCTTGTTGATGCTTGCACGCCACTCATTAGCCGTCTGAACGCCAATGCACTTCGGGCAACGGGGTTCAAGCCGTGAACGAGAAATGAGCGGCTTTGGTACTGCAACTCGTTAGAGTTAGGCCATAAACAAGTTATCTCGCGTGTTAGATATCTTAACCAAAGTGTCAAAATGTCCGCACGCGGCAGGACCAGTGAAGAAGAGGTAGACTTCACAATCTGGGTTTTCGACGGTGGCGCTCTCGAACTGTCTGATGCACTGCCTTTGTAGATCGAACTGATACAGATATATGTCAATGTTCATGGCCTGCGCGACAATGACATGTTCCAAAACGCCAAGCACGGTGCCGAGCCAGTGACCAGCTATACCCGGATGGCTGACCTCTCTCTCTAACGTATCAAAGTCATCATTGGTGTAAATGCCAGAAAGGTCTTCGCATTCATCCAAATAGGTTTTGCGAGCCTTTTTGAGCTCGTCGAACATGGCTTTTCGAAGGTCCTTTGCCTGCAAACTCTTCGTAGGGCGGTCTTGTGCGCGTCTGGCGACCAGCCGATGCCAGATCCACGGACGCGAGCGAATCCGCCTCCATCGCTTCCTGTCATGAGCAAACGAGAAGTGTTTGTTTCGATTATTATGTTGGGGTTGGTTTTGGGTTTGAGATCGTTGTTGGATCGGAAAGTGAGGGTCGTGCGGAGGTTCAGGGGGTTGCGGAGCCATGTCACGGACGCGCTCCCTTGCAACGTTGATGCCCTTTGCGATGGCGCCGAAGCCGCAATCGCCGTTCATGACGATAGGGTGCAATCGGAAGCATGTACCGTTATTGTCTCTGATAACGCGGTCCTTGTGGACCTTGAGAAAATTTCGGCGAAACTCTGCCTGGCTGGTAATAGGAGCTGCGGCGTTATTTGGGTAACCACGCGCGGCGGTATGGGCGGCGGTGGCGGCGAGGTTGGTCGGGCGACGACGAAACATGGCGGCCCATCCCCGGGGCTTCTTCTGGACGTGCTCTGCGGTGAGGCAGGAATTGGACGCGGGGCGGTTGGGTGCGGGGTGGTTGGATGCGGTGCGGGAGCGGTCTGGGAGCGAGGCGGGGACGGAGTCGGCGACCGAGTCTGGATATGTCGAGGCGGCGGT